TCTTTGGCATGAGGATTCTTTTAGGCTGATTATTTTTAGGAAACAAAAGGCTCTGGAAGAACTTCTCATCTCCTCCTTAACTGCCTAGAACGAATTTAGATTGGAGGGCTTGTTTTAGGAAGGAGCTATCACCAGAAATAACTACAAAGAATGTGTGGGCTAAGTGTGGTGGGCTTGGGGTTGGGCAGGGCTTGGAGATCTAATTCCTTTCTGTGTCCCATTGTCTCTGCAGGGCAGGGCAAACATTTATTTACCAACATTTGCCCTTCCCATCTTCCTCTGCATTGCCTTCCTCCCCCAAGTCCCAGCCCCTACCCCCTTCTCCTTAGTTCAGAATGGCATATAAGCCTCAATTACATGACTGTCTGTGGGCTCCCATATTCTTATGGAGCCTCCTTATGTACAAAGTTAAGTTTGTTTTTTCTCCTGTTAATCTCTCTTTTCAGTTTAATTATTAGACCCTGAAGGGAAGAGGAGAAAGTTTTCCTCCTCAACAAGTTCAATGAGAAGCAGACAGATGTGCAACCATCTCAGAGGACCCCTCTATAAACATCATCTTGTCAGGTTTACTTTATTAGGACCAAAGACCCTTCTGGCAGTGAGGACCTGATCCTTGGCCTGCAGCATCCTGGAGAGCAGGTCATGTTCTTGCAAATGGGAGGGTCAGTAATTCAGGTCTGAGTGAGCTGTTGGCCATCTCCACGTGGCTGAGCCTACCACGTGTCCACAACCTGTTTGATGAAAAACTAGACTGCACGACCCTCTTTCCAGCGTACATTGATTAGTGCACCTCAGTTGTTGCATTATGCTAGCTGTGAGGTCCCAAGCTTGTGATACAGAAGGTACCTCTGCAGAGGGGAGGCGGGGATGCATAGGTGGAGGGGAAGAGATCAACCAAAGAACTTGTATGTATATATGCATAACCTATGGGCACAGACAATAGCGGGGTGGAGGCCTGGGGTGCAGGGTTGGGATGAGCTATAAGGGGTTAAAGGGAGAAAAAATGGGTCATATGTAATACTTTCAACAATAAAGATTTAAAAATTAATTAATTTAAGAAAAAGAAGGCACCTCTAGCCTCTGTCCCAGTAAGAAAATCCTCACTGAAAGTTTTTCCAGACATAAGCACATGCCTAACCATGACAGTCCAACTGGTTACTCTTAGCCAACCTAATCTGGTTTTTGGTTGTTGCTCCTGTTACTGGATGGTCAATCACAGAGTCATTGAGAGCAGGTTGCCCCCCTTAAAAGCCCTCTCTACTTCCTTCTAGTTCCCACTTTCACTATCTTTACTTCCTTTCTGTCTCTGGAGCGGGTCCACACTGCCCTCTGGTGGTGGAACAGCATTGCACAGTTGCCTGCAGAAGTCCATCATGCAGCTAATCTCAGAGCCTGACTCTGCCCGAGCCTGGAAAGCACCCGAGACAAGTAGTACTCAGCCCAGAATCTGATTGCCAATGAAGTCTACCTCTCCTGAGGACAGATGTATTTGACCAGGGGACCACACCTTCCCAGCTCCTAAAAATGTGTTTTCCAAGGTTGAATTCTGGTGTCAGCTGGAGGGGGGGATAGATTCTTACATAGAATTCCTTCAGGCATTTTTCTGCAAAGCTTTTCTTTATTCCATTTTTGCAGCTTTAACATTGCCAAGCTTCAGGGAACCATTGTTGAGTCATTTATAATCTCTTGTCTCACAACTTGGGTGGAGGCAGTCCTGAGTTGACCTGGGCTCTCAGCAGCCCTGGCCAGTGCGGGAGGGAAGGAATAAAACCCAGCTGGATCAGGAAGAGAGAAATAGCCTGGGTACAGGACTAGAAGAGATCCCTAGGGAGAGGCAACTGGCATTGTCTGCCAGGCTGTCACTTACACTGGTTTCATTAAGAGTCATTAGTATGTAAGTAGGTGTGCATCAGAACTGGGTGGGCCTGGGCAGCAGGAGACCAAAAGAGGGTGGCCTGAGCCTACAGCTCATAGGGAGTGGGGGAAAGCCAGCTGAACTCAGCAGAATAAACCAAACCCTGCTCTTGGGGGTGGAAATAGTTTGAAAACCAGAAAAGCAGTACAGCAATAAAAGGGAACCAAAGGAAGAGATGGTCTCAGAGATAGGGGTCTTGGTTGTCATGGCAACCAGACTGCTAGTGGTTGAGACTTCCCACTTAAAAGAAATAAATGCCTCTTTAGTGTTTTTTTTTTCTTTTTTAGTGATAAAGCAACCAAGACCCATGATGGGGGGAAGAGTTTGAGAGTTAATTTAGCTTGCCAGTGCCAGAATGAAAGGGTCACAAATGGATACAAGATCATGTAGACCACAGCAATTCTGCCCACTGGGAACCAGTAGGGTGGGAGATCTTTTATCATAACACTCTAGGGAGAGAAAGCTTTAGTGCTCCCATTAGAAGAATTTGGAAATCCAAAGATAATCCCAAGAGAATTATTATCTCTAGGACCTACCATTCCCTTCCATAATGGCACCAGGAGTGGCAGTCTTTAAGGCCATATTTGCCGTCTTCTTATATAATAAAAGAAATTCTGTTTCATTATATGCTTTTCTTAAGTGCTCAAACTGCCTCTGCCCTTTTCTGGATCATAGGTGAAGTCAGTCCATGTCACACTTCACATTATTGTGGAAACACTTGTAAATAGGACCTAGGAGATGTCTATACATTTTCAATTTATCATCCTGTGGCACTAGGCACCTCCACGGAAGCTCCAACACACTATCCTCCCAGTTCCTCACTGGGAGACTGGGAGATCCTATTGGACAGCCCTGCCTGGTTATGGGGGAGAGATGGGCTGTGGAGGTGTCACTCATTCTTTGGATTGGTCAGCTTGGGCTGCCCTAACAAATCCACAGACTTGGTGGCTTCCACAACAGACCAAGGTGCCAGCTGATTCAGTTACTGGTGAGTGCTCTCCGGGCTTGCAGATGGCCACCTGCTTGCTGCGTCCTCACATGGCCTTTCCTCTGTGCCTGTGTGAAGAGACATCTCTGCTGCCTCTTTATCCTCTTACAAGGGCACAAATTTGATCAGAATCAGGCCTTACCTTTTTTACCTCATTTAATCTTTTTTTTTCCTCTTTCTTTTCAAGATTTTCCAATATTGCTGGCAACGTGGGAGAGCAGGTCATCCATAAAAATCTTCTTTGACCCCCCCCCCCCTCCCCGCACTGCAATAAGCCAGTTGCTTATATTGGGTAGAAAGATAAAGATTACATGGGGAGGTAGGCAAAAGGAATAAGAATGGGTATAATGGTTACAGGTTACTGGCAATGTGGGCTAGGGGGTGCAAAGGACAGGCAACTGACCTCATTTCACCTTTAAATGTCTTCTTATAGGCCCTCTCTCCAAATATAGTCACATTGGGGATTAGGGCTTCAACCTATGAATTTGGGGGGACCCAACTCAGTCCATAAAAATCCTCTATTGACACTAAATAAGAATGAAAACTCAGAAACACAGATCAAGCCCTAACCGGTTTGGTTCAGTGGATCGAGCGTCGGCCTGCGGACTGAAAGGTCCCAGGTTCGATTCCGGTCAAGGGCATGTACCTTGGTTGCAGGCACATCCCCAGCAGGAGGTGTGC